GTCCAATACTAAAAAGAGGTGCCACAGCATAGCCCTCCTCCTGGTCGCCCTGCAATGACGAAGGTAGATTTGCTAAAAATATATTATATCTCTATATAAATGCGTACCAACAACATACCCACCCACACACACATTCACATTCACACTCACACTCACTCACACTCACACACACACACACACACATATATATATATGTGTGTGTGTGTGTGTGTGTGTGTGTGTGTGTATGCACATATATATATAAATGTGTGTGTATGTATGCGTGTCTACATTTAGGCAGATAAATAGATAGAGATTGTCCTTTCACATTTATACCATAATAGACAAAGAAAAAAAGCGAAAACAAACGAAATAGGATAAAAGTTCCGCCATCTCACCACGAGAGCAAACCACAAGCACTCAGACTGTGTGAAGGAACGTCCTCACTCAAGTAGAGGAGGAAACGAGAGGGATCAGGGATGAGAGGAAGAGAAGAATAAAGGGGGAAGAAGGGAAGGACTAAAAGGGGAGGGGGCGGAAGAAGGAGAGAAGCAGAAGGGAGATCAAGGGAGAGGGAAGACGTTAGAGAGCCACTTCGCGAGGCTGGAGAAATTGGCGTTTGTTGGAGGGCCATCAGGCTGGGAATAGTTGATGTTAATAGACGGCTTAGATTTCGCTTCTCGCCGCTTGCTGGATTTTGTGTGGTGTGGTATTTTCTTTTCTCTTTTTATATATAACTGGATTTACTGTTAAAACCTAGATGTAAATTGACAGATAGATATTGAGTGGATGCTTTTAGTGCGACATGAGTAGAACTGGAAATCTGGTACAACACACAGCAATTATCAGATTATGCATGTGTTTATGTGATTATCCACACACACACACACACACACACACACACACACACACACACACACACACACACACACACACACACACACACACACACATACACACACACACACGCATATATATGTGTATGTATGTATAAATATATACAAATATATGTACATATAAGCATATGTGTGCATATGTATGATGTATATATGTACTGTATTTCTACATATGCGTTTCCATATGTGCTTCATTGAGTTTGTTTGCTCTTACCCGCAGCATAGCCCTATGAGTAGAAGAGACATCCGAACGCCACATTACTTACCGGTTGGAAGATATCACAGATGTGCCAAACCCCGGGTTCCACTGGACTAGCTGATTCAGTGAGGAGTTCGTAGCCCTCAACATGGAAGGTGATACTGGCTTGTGTGTCATTATTTGTCGTCGCCACGAGTATCCGCGACCAGCGATCACTGTCCGGAAGTGGTATTCTGATACCGGTGTCTTTATCTGTGACGACTGTGGAGTAACGGTGGTGGTTACGAGATGGTGGTAGGTAGTTGTGATTGTATAGAGGTATGTTTTCGTGGATTGTAATGATTGTGAATTGATAAGTTGTCACTGATTGTGATTATGTTGTGATTGATATTATGATACCGGTGTCTTTATCTGTGACGACTACGGAGTAATGGGGTGGTTATGAGATGGTGGTGGGTGGTTGTGATTTATTGAGGTATATTTTTGTGGATTGTAATGATTGTGAGTTGTTAAGTTGTGATTGATTGTGGTCATTGCTAAGTTGTGAGTGGCTGTGATTGTATGTTGGTGGATTGAAATGATTATGAATTAATAAGTTTGATTGGTTGTGATTGTGCAAACAAAAGTGGATATTGGTGGATTGCTATTATTATTGTTATTTGCATTCAAAATTTGATTATAACAATCGCCCCTCATAAGAATAGACATGGCCTAATCATAATGATGAATAATAATGCTCGTTAATTTTAATTTAAGATTTACGAAAGAAAGAAAGAAAGAGAAATATATATAACGAAATATTAAACGAATTGCAATAAAACTGCAACAATATAAAAAAAAAACAGATACACCATTACAAATAAAACAATAACAAAACGAAGCACATCCATTCATTCACAAATAGTTTTTAACAAACATTCACTCAGAAATGCGACCTATTGCTGCGACCTTGCCCCCTTTTGCATTGGCTGAGCAAGAGGGCTTCGGAAACTTATACTATACTACAACTTTACTACAGTGACATCAGCCGATGTATTGTATATTAGAAAAAATAATGTAGTTTAATTGTTTATCAGCACATTTACACCAAATTTACAATTACACATACTCATACTCACACTTACTCATATTCACACTCGCACGCACACGCACAAAGGTACGCACACGCACATAGGTACGCACGCACACGCACACGCACACGTGTCTACCCATGGGTATTTAACTGTATACCCATCCACTTAATTTGCGTTAAAAAAAAAAAACGACAAACACAAAAAGAACCATAAATCACCTTACCTGAATAACCCGACGCATAGCCCGCCATTACCACAAGTACCACAAAAAATAACATTTTCACTGTAACGCGAAAGACTCAATCTTCAATCGCTCTTCTCAAATGGTATATGTTTTACCTTCACTAACTGCT